ATTACTTTCTCCGTTTAAAAGAAAAGATAAATTCTAGGCCTCCAAATTCTAGCTATATATCTAGACATGATACACAAGAGTGTAGTTTTCTGTGGTAAATTTCAGAGTAGAAATGTGGGACCGAGGCTAACGAGACACACCGAATGAAGAAGAAAGCAGGCGTCTCCATGCGTGGATAGCGTGGTCCCCAATCTAGCCATCGATCTACTCCCCCGTAGGAGTATAGTACAAGTACTTCTTCCATATTTTAATAGAGATATACATGTATTTATTTTGTTCAAAATTCTATGTAAAGAAAAGAAAGTTAAGTAGCACCTTTAATAATAAATTAAGTTGTAAAAAAATAATAAATAATTTTTATATACTTGATTTTTTTAATAAGATAAATGATCAAAAGTACATTTACATTTAAAAGTTAACAAAGCCATCTATTACACTCGAGGGAGGACAGGTAGAGTGCAGTGGTAGCACTCTCTGAATACTTTTTGATGTCTAAATTTATATTATTAAGATCTATCATGTGTCATATTAGATTTATTTTTATATATCTAGGATAATATCAGGATATATCATTTTTTTTACCTTGAGGATATATCATATTTCGTATTATATTTTCTTTCTTATGCAATTGAGGGAGGTGTAAGAGCGAGCTGAGGTGTATGTATAGCTAGCACCCATCTATTTTCGCTTATTCAGGGGAATAAGCGAAACGGCATATCAGCAAATGATTTAAAATTTTTATATATATGCTCTTAACGATCTAAAAGCAAAGACTGAAAAATAAACTTCGATAAAAAACCTCAAAAATCAACTCTAAATTTAGAATTGAAAATTTAAATTTTAGCTGATAAGTATAAGTATAAGTGAAAAATAGGCCGTATACTCCTAGAGTCCGAGTTTTCTGCGGCACCGCCATGCTGCTTACAGTTGAGGAGATGAATGATGAGAGGTCATTTGGCTTCTTGTTGCGTAGAAGCCTCTAGAACAAAGACAAGCAAGGAATTTTTACAATGCAATTATAGCTCAAGGTGTTAATTATTGGGCCGTGTAATCTTGCCATTTTTTCTACATTACGTCAAAGTAGTACATACTTCAACTTATTACTTACTTCCTCCGCATCTGATTATAAGTCATTTTGATTTTTATGAAAGTCAAACTGCTTTTTAAGTTTAATTAAGTTTATAGACAAATATAATAATATTTATAATACCAAATTAGTTTCATTAAATCAATATATAATTGAATATATTTTCATAATAAATTTGTCTTGGGTTGAAAATGTTACTACTTTTTTCTATAAATTTGATTAAATTTGAAATAGTTTAATTTTAACCAAAGTCAAAACGACTTATAACCTGAAACGGAGTGACTATTATATATATATATATATATATATCCTTCTCTATCATCGGAGACATGACCAAACATACGTACTTCAACCCAACTGTGCTACAGTAATTATGTTGTAGTAAAAATGTGCTACAAGCCTAGAACGCTAGAGTCGTTGATTTCCCATCGTGCGATGCTAGTGTAACCACTTAAATTGCAGTTGCATTAGCAACTGTAGCAGCCACCAGGTCTCTACCTAAGTTCAGACTATAAAAACCACATTATTTTTGAACGAATCGGATATTGGGTGTACCAATTTTAATGAATATATAGCAGAAAACCAAACTATATATACATGTAAAACAATAATCACCAAAAGACGTTTTGCTCCTACTAAGACTTAGGTCTTGGCATATCCCTTGATTTTTATAAGCATCGATGTCTTCGAGAGTTTTTTTGTTAACAGTCTCTAGTTTTTATCATATATTATATCTACATCCCACTACTAGGTGGAGGAACATTTCCATGGTGTGCCAGCAAAGTGGTAGTACGTATTATTTGGCCAGCCACGAGTTACTAGCTGAGTACTCTTCATGGCACATGAGGTTCTAGCTTATATCATCTGTCCCATTTTTCAAACCACAATTTCTCATCATATTCAAAATATATTTGAGTTTTGGGCCGGGGTTGTATATAGCACACTGTACCTCCCTTCGCCTCACTTACATCTGCCAGATCTTTTGGTGAGCAATTCATTCACTTCCCTTATTCAGTTGGCAAACTTTAGCTTCGGCCAAATTTCGAACGAATGCTAAAGTGGCATATGATAGATTGTGTGGTTAAGAAATAGTTGGGCACATATGTTAGCCAAGACATAGTTCAAGAAATATGTCTAAGTTAGGCTAAGATTTACTGACATGTCAAATAGTATGTGGTATCAAACCATACGTCTGCTGTCAAACCTGTGACAAACCTCCAAACATCCCTAAATACGCCAATCCAGCCATCACCATAAATGGGTGATGTACTATGTACTCACCAGCGGACAACAGATTTTGTGACGGATATATATGCAGGCATGCAGACAGGTCCAAGATCTCTGCAGGCTGCAGAGAAGGGCCATACATGCATATGGGTCCTAAGGTAATGTGCGCACACATGACACAGTACAATATAGGGAGAGTTGCTCTTGTAGTTAATTGCTGATGAACCAAAAATATTCATATTTATTTTTTTTAAAAAAAAAGTGAAAACTCTCTAATTATTGAGGAAAAACAAAGATGCAGAGATTTCACATACGTGGTTGGAAGCTTAGATGCATAATAACAATAATTAATAAGGGTACATTTGAAGGAAAAGCAGGGGCATGCAGCAGAGAGCAGAGCAGCTTCTCGATCGATCAGGTCGCGTTCAGACCGACATGGCGATAAGATGGGAAGGAGATTCGTCGCCTTTCCAATGGTTTTGAGAACAATGCTTGTTCGCCCGTGGTGCCGAAAAAAGATTTTCAGAATCAATCTACTGTTGCCCTGTGGTACCACATTGTAACCAGAAAAGATCCAAGCTGGCCTGATAGCTCTGCTGCTTCAAGCCTTCGATCAACCAACATTAATTCTTGAAAAACAGCTATTTAAATTACTGTATTTCCTTACTTATTATGTTTCCTCCTAAAAGTGTGGAGCATTTCAATGCGAGATTTGTGCAAGTCTTATATAAATGTGGGACATTATATTGGCACTTGACTTAAGTATGCATAGGTTAACAACCAGTGACGGAGCCTATTTCAGGGCGGCTACTAAAAGGGCTGATGCCGACGCGCACCGTGGGTTGTTGTTGAAAATGGATGACAACCAATAGGAACTTCCTTGCTGCCTGGGTCTCATCATGATGTTGTTGTTCCATCAAAGTTAACGAAGATTTGATCGTACTCTACTTTCTCTTAAAGTTTTTCTTTACGGTTTGTAGAGCAGATACAATAGCAAACTATAAGCTAACTATAACCATATATTGAGAAGAAAAGAGAAGAGAGAGAAGAAAGCGGGCTACAGATTTGTAGCCGGCTACAACACGGACTCCAAGACATTATATGTGTATGAAAGGTGGGACTGGGTATTAATGGTGTATATATTTTTTATAGTTAACTATAGTATGAATGGAGTATTATATTAGCTATATATGATTTGGAGCCAACAGTTGACTATACTATTAAACTTGCTCTTAAGAGTACTGAGAAATAATAAAATATGAGACATGTAGATAGAAAATTAACACGACTAGATACGCATTCTGCATACTAAAAATAATTTATTATGCATCGAAATATTGGGTGATAATATATATTTTACATAGATTGTTCATCAAAATGTTTTCTAAATTGGATTTTTTTAATGAAAATTTATGCATTGGATTAAGCGAAATGAAAGTGTTTCTCTAACCCACTTTACAGACTTTTACAAAATATTCATTCATGTACAAATAACAGGCTGTGGCACTTTTAAGGTTGCTGAACTAGTTTTGACTTACCAAATTCTAGGACATCAAGAAGTAAAGAACACTGGTATTGCAGCTGCTATATATTGCTGTGCTACCACAATAAACTGAGCCGAGCACCTTCGAAACAGACACATAAAGTAAGATATGTGGTAGTACACCTATTTATCATGTATCTATAGAGGAAAAAATGCTGCATATACAACGATATCGTTTTAAACTGCTTTTGCTCTATTGTACGCCAAAAAAACAAAAATATGTGGAAAGCTTAAAACACCACTAGTTACAAATTTAAATTGCATTTGGTGTTGCGCATGCGTTCAATCTAGACAACCCGTTTTGGAGGATAAAATAAAGACCAAATTGATGTGGTCTCGCTTCTCAACCGAGAAAAAGGAAAAAATGTACTCCCTCCGTCCCTGAATATTTGATGTTGTTGACTTTTTTAAATATGTTTAACCATTTGTTTTATTTAAAATCTTTTGTGAAATATGTAAAACTATATGTATATATAAAAGTATATTTAACAATAAATCAAATGATAGGAAAAGAATTAATAATTACTTAAAGTTTTTAAATAAGACGAACGGTCAAACAAGTTTAAAAAAGTTAACGGTGTCAAACATTTAGGGACGGAGGGAGCGAGTACATTATTTGAGCTTCCCATGTATCCACAAACCGAACAAAAATCTAGACTATATTGAGGACACGCAAACCACATCGGCTCTCATAGCAATGCTGCCTATATCAATTGCTAATATAGAGGAAGAGAGGAGTCAAACTTCCATACGATGCACAACACACCAATTATTGCTGATGTAGAGGAAGAGACGAGTCGATTTCCATATGATGCACGGCAACAAAATCATGTGTAAGAAAAACTAGCTTTGAATAGTTGGCGATGGATCATGATCTTGACAGTGGATCAGTCACCCACAAATTTCGTGGCATTTAACTTTCTATCACTTTTAAAATATGATAATTAAGGATTTGCCACACGATTTATAACATGTAGGTCCAGTGGTAAATTCTCAATTACCACTTATAAAAGTGACAAATAGTTAAATATCTCACAAATTTCTCGTAGTTTTTTTAAGGGGGTGGAGAGATTGTGGAGAGGAACATGTTGGGGAAAGGGCCATCAAGGAAAACGGTGTTAGGTTGGGAAGAGAGAGAGAAAGGAAAGAAAGTGTGTCAACTTGTACTTTTTGAAAAGAAGTGTGTCAATTTATACTAACTACTCTTGTTCCAAATGTATGGCACAATTTCTGTCTCTAATGTTAATTCCAATGGTACAAAAGACCAGACCAGCCTTATGCTTTGAACATGCCATCATACCCCTAATTACAATCAGTTAGAGATCTTCAAGAGATTTTGCTAACATCTTCTGCACATCACAGCTAGTTCCTGGCTTCCCAAAGAGGGGAAAAAGCTAAAGAAATCGTCCCCCTGTCAAATTCCTCTGCTCCGTCCTGCTGTGCAGCTCAGTTACCTTTATTGCCATATATACTCATTCAGGATCAATGCAACCATGAATGTTTTCTTCCTCTTTGCTCTCACTCTTTTTTGTTAATTATCCTGCCAAGAACACAAGAAAAAAACATTGGTTAATCCTATACATATACAGATGAAGACATAAGAGATAGGTATAGTACGTAAGTATTATTGACTAGTATACCGATGGCGACAAGCTTAGAACATTACAAAACAATTGAGACATGGCTAGGCAAGCTGCACGCATGAGGAAGCTAGAATGGCCTAATTTTTGGGCATATGGAAAATTTTGTCCGAAAATGATGGATTCTAGCACCACCTTTCAAGCTTATCTTGTCCAATTGCACCAGATATTTCCTTTTATCAAAAAGGATTTTATTCGCGGCGAAAATGGGGTACCACTTGGTAATTTTCAGATGGCAAGTAGTTTTCTCATGATAATAACAGTAGAACAGACAAGTTGAACTAATAAATATGTTTTAGTACTATGAGTGTATTGTGTGAAAGAAAGAAAGAAAGAAAATGTTTATGAGGGTGATGACTGATAAAGACTATTCATGGTTCCAAATATAATTGGTTTTCCACTATTGTTGTGTATATGTATCGCATATGGAAGTTTTATTAATTTTGAAAGAACCATATGGAAGTAGGCTAGACTAAAAATTATGCGGAGAATCTCCACGGTACTAATCATTGAGCTCTGAAAAGTCAAGCTTCTTTCCTTGTCCCTCTTTTCCCCCTCTTTTTTTCTCTTGTCCGTATGCCTTTGTTCTTTGTTCCTATGGAGTCAAAATCCCTTCTTTCTTGTGCTTACAGGGACCAAAATGTGTAATTTAATCTGAAAAGTTTGAAATCTCTGCATTTTCTTTTATAGGCAGAGTACATATGACCTCTACGTGGATTGATATAATTACCACTTGCCCCCATAAGAAAGCCACTGATATACATGTGTATACGTCAGATATATACTGTATATGCTAATCATATATACTCTCTCCGTCTCTAAATATTTAACGCTATTGACTTTTTTTAAATATGTTTGACCGTTCGTCTTATTTAAAAAATATTTGTGAAATATGTAAAATTATATGTATACATAAAACTATATTTAACAATAAATCAAATGATAGGAAAAGAATTAATAATTACTTAATTTTTTTAATAAGACGAACGATAAAACATGTTTAAAAAAGTTAATGGTGTCAATATTTAGGGACGAAGGAGGAGGTAGTAAACACCTACTAACCACTATGAGACAAAAAAAATGTACGGCTTCCCGATCAAGCTTGCTCCAATAATATTAAGTCGTTGACATACTGATTGTGTCTAGGTTGTCCGTGGAATTTTGAACATGCTCACAATTTAAAATTAAAAATTTACTCCCTTCTCCCTCAAATAACTGACACTATTTTGACCTCAAATAACTGACACAATTGACTACGGCCATCTCAGTTTCAGCACCCTACTTATAATGCACTCCCTCCGTCTCAACAAAAAAAAACAATCGAAGAGGATGTGATTCCTCACAACGAATCTTGACAAGAGATCAAATCCTTTCTTAGGTTGGTTTTTTTCGGGGCGGAGGGTGAACTAGTATGGAAGTTGCACGGTTATAATTAGGATGTTACACCCCTGGACAAAATAACATATTTTTAAGTACTAACAAATTCTTTCTAAAAAAGATAAGCGGAAAGTTTAAACTACAATAGTGCCAGAGTCAATTATTTAAGAACAGATTGAGTAGGAGCACATACTTTCTCAAAGATCATAAGAAACTCTTAATAAAAAACATTTTCCTAAACCAAACTTATGTTATATGTACTACTAGTACATACTTCCTCCGTTTCATATTATTGTTTGACTTTTTTCCTAATAAAAATTCTTTAGGTTTGATTAAATTTATTAAAAAATTAGCAATATTTACTACATCAAATTAGTTTCACTAAATTTAAAATTGAATATATTTTGATAATATATTATTTTTTAAAAAATATTAGTATATTTTCTACAAACTTGATCAAACTTAAAAAATTTGAATAAGAAAAAGTCATATAACTTATAATATGAAACGGACGGAGTACAATTTAATCGGAAGAGAAGTAGAAGTAGAAGTAGAAGGATCCCATACCTGATCCTGTGTTGGGTGCATTTTCAGGAGGAGGCATAATGCTTCCATTTGGCACGTGAAGTGGTGGATTTTGCTGCTGCTGCACGGCCTTGGCCCCCAACGGATAATACCCCACTCCCTGCAAATAAAGCTGTCCCAATACCTCAGCAAATATAAATATTTCGCACAAATTTGTCTCAAACGAGCTGGGATTTGAGAATGTTTTTTTTTTTTGGGGGGGGGGAGGGCAATTTGTAAGAGACCTGGGTCGGCGGCGGCTGCAGGTGGTTGACGCCCAGGTCAAGGTGGTTCACCGGCGGTGTGGGCACCACCGGCTGCGGCGCCGCCATGAACGGCATCCTCGGCATCGCCGCCGCCGCCGCCCCCATCCCGACGCCCATCCTCGGCAGATACTGGTGCACCCCCGGGAACATCACCGGCGGCGCCATCCCGCTCCCCATCCACATCATCTTGACAACCAAAATCAAAAAAAAAAAGAAACCGATAAATATATAAATATATATATATATATATATTTAAATTACGCGCCAAAAACCGTTGCAGTAAGTGCACAGCTCACCTGCAGCTGCAGCTGCAGAGACTTGAGGTACTCGATCGCCTCGTCCAGCATCGACGCCTTGTCAGTCTAGTACAAGTTTTGGTTAATCTCGGAGGATTAGCGAGTGATTAATTAGTGTGTAGTTTAGTTAAGTTGGTTACCTTGTTGCAGTGTGGTATGAGCTCCTGCAGGGCTCTCATCTTCTCGTTGATCCTGTCCCGTCTCCTCTGCACAAACCACAAATGGTGCCAATGGCGTCAAGGTCAGACAGCTTCCCATGGCGTTAAAGACAAGGAGGAAAGAATTGGGACGCACCCTCTCGGAGAGGTTGTGCACCTCGGCGGCGCGGCTCCTCCGCGCCGTCGTCATCTTCGCCGGCGGCTTGCGCGCCAGCGCCGCCGACTCCGACTCCGCGTCCTGCATTGCATCCCACGCGCCGCCGGTGTCAGTGTCAGTGTGCGTCTCTGTTGGTGTTCGACGGGAGGACGCCTACCTCGCTGGGGCTCTCGGAGTCCTCGGTGGTGTCGAGCCGCTTGCGCTTGCTGCTCCGGTTGCTGGTGCTCGTCGGCTCCGTGGTGGTGGTGGTGCCGAAGCAGCAGTTGGACCGCCCCGACGACGACGCCACGGTGGTCGCCTCGTGGCCGTGGCCGTGGTCGCGCCCGCCGCAGGGGATGGCGTTCGCGCTCCCCACCGCCGAGGGCGGCGCGCCGCGGCGCCCGGGCTCGCTCGCCGTGCGCTGCTGCACCTGCACCTGGTTGCTCCCGCAGATGCTCGACCCGATCGCGCTCAGCATCGACGACGACGCGCCGCCGCCGCCGCCGCCGGCCTCCGCCTTCCGCCGAGCCGCGCCGCCGGACGACCTCCTCGCCCGGACGAGCTCCGACAGGTCCCCGGCGTTGTCGCCGCCGTCCGCCAGGCTCATCGTCTGCTGCCTCGAGCAGGACGCGTTCGTCGACTTGGGCGGCGGCATCAGCTCGCGCGGCGCCTCGGACGCCGCGCCCGGCCCGCCACGCTCCTCCTCCGCCATTGCCGCGTCGCCCTTGCAAGTCTTTCCTTCGCCGTCGGCGCCCGCGCCCGGGCCAGCAGGCGCCGCCTCCGCCGTCGCCGCGACGGGCGCCTCGTAGAAGAGGTCCGAGAAGATGTCCTTCTCCAGCGAGTCGGCGAGCGCGAACGGGAACCACAGGCCGGCCTCGTCTTCTTGCACCGCCGCCGCCGCCGCCTTCTCCGGCGGCCTCGGCGGCAGCTTCCGGTGGTGATTCTGGCTCTGCATGACGACATGGCCGTTGCACCAGAGCAGCTCAATGAGGTTGTCATCTTCGCTGCAAAAGCACAAACACAAACACAAAAAACATGAGAAAAAAGAAAGGAAAATCTGCATCCTGGATCAAACCGGCGAAATCTATGCTTCGATCAAAGTGCGAACCCGAGTGTCCTGGATGCGTCACCCATGTTGCTCCAATCAGGGACGAACTGGTTCATCGCTCATCAGATGGCAGCAACCATGGATGACGACACGACGATCTCCCCTTCACCTCACTGCAGAAGAAGCAGAGGGCACCAAAAAAAAAAACAACTTCTTCAGCTCCAAGAACAAAAGCAACAGCAAAAAGAGCTTCTTCTTTTTCTAATAAAATTAATTAACCTTTTTTATTGTAAAATAAGGGGAAAAAACAGTAAAGAAGGAAAAAAAACACTGAAGAATTAACTTCTTTTTTTTTCCTTTTTGTAGTGATGAAGAAGCTGTAATTCTTCAGCAGTTAATTACGATTATACCTCGTTAATTAAAACAATAAAGAAAAAACATGCATGCATCTTGTCCACAAAGGCGTAGAACAGTGCAAGAAAAGAACTCCATAAAAGTATATCAAAAGAAAGAGAGAAGTAAATTAAGAAAAGAAGCAAGAACTAACCTAATTAAGTAGGCCCAAGACTTTGGCTGGGTGCTCAGCTCAGCTCAGCCAATACTAGCTTCTTAATTTTCACTTGAGAAGAAGCTTCCAATAGGAAGAAGGCTAGCTAGAGAGCAGAAGCAGAGCAAGGAGGAGGAAGAAGAGGCAGAGGCAGAGCAAGGGGGACCGGGCTTGGCTTGGCACAAGCGATGGGCCTTTAAGTAGCTGTACAACATTGCGGTTGAATTGAACTGGATTCCTTGAGACAGACGCTGATAGATAAGATAGGTAGGGGAGAGAGAGAGAGAGAAAGAGAGAGAGGGGCCGGGGTCCGGACAGGGGAATGAAATCAACGAATGATTAGAGAGGATCAGAGGAGAGATTAGATTTAGTGGGAGTAGTACAGATTTTGCACCTGCAGATCAATGTGCATCGCCCAAGGATTAGGAGACCGGGCGTGCTGTGGTGTCGTGTGATCTTTTTTACTTTAACCGTTTCGAGTAACTTCGGTTTGCTGGTCTCGCAGCAGCGACACGCCATCTTTTGGAGTCGCAGCCTCGCAGGCAAATATATATATATAGAGAGAGAGAGTCTCTGATTGGAGGAGAAGCCGAGGAAGTGCCCTAGTTTGGCCGTTGACGACGAGCAGCACAAGTACGTGTACGCTGTAGGGTGTCGATGGTTCACACTACAGTCTACCACCAGTAGCAGTAGTGTAGTACTACTCCCTCCGTCCCAAAATAAACCAACTTAGTTTGATTTTTTTTACGGAGGAAATACTTCTGTAGATCTATTTTAAATTCCGAGAAGCGGCAGGACAGAATTTAGGTTGGGTTTCTGTAGATCTACTTTAAATTCCAAGAAGCGGCAGGGCAAAATTTAGGTTGTATTTAATTTCACCGGCAAAAATAATTTATCGGGTCACATCAGATATACAGACACATATTTATAATATTAAACGTAGACTAATTAATAATAAAACAAATTACATAATCCGTCTGTACTGCGAGACGAATTTATTAAGCCTAACTAATTCATCATTAACAAATGTTTACTGTAGCACCACATTGTCAGATCATGGTGCAATTAGGCTTGCAAGATTCGTCTTGCAATTTACACGTAAACTGTGTAATTAGTTTTTTTTTTAATATTTAATACTCCGTACATGTGTTCAAACGTTTGAGGTGACGGGAAAAGAAAAGATTGCCCGTGGATCTAAACACCCCCTTAGTTGATAAGAATATACAGAAATCGACATAATTTTATTTTGTAGATTCTGTAGTTACAGTTCTTTAAATCTGATTTAAACGAAAAGCTAAAGTATTTTTTACAAGAGTTTTGAAAAAAAAATTAACTGTGCTATCAGAAACTTTTATAAATTGGCTATATATCTAAAGTCTTCCACATCCTAATGATGCAAGTGAGTAAATAGGCTATGATTGTTAAGAAGAGAAAGTAAGTGAAAAAAAATAAATTTGAGATGGTTATGATTGGTTAGATGAGGAACTGGTAAAAAAAATAAATATATTTTTAATAGATGCAGCAAGGTACCAAAGTTAGCGCTTGAAAAAGTCATAGCGTCTGGTGCCTCTCACGGCTTGTTTTGCGACATGAGGAAAAATGATTGGGAGTTTAGACGAGAAAATTAATGGTGAGATTAACATGAAAAATTTATTTTTAGTTCCAATATCATGTTTGGTAGAGACAATGGGAATTGAAACGAAGATTAGTTGGAGATTAGATTTTAAATGAAAATAGATTGTTGGGATTTGTTTACGCAAAATGAAGGAGAAATTCCTTCCCAATTACCACCCACCACCTAGGCATTGAAAAGGATGGAGTTACTCCCTCAATTCCTCATTCTCATCCCACCAAAACTCTCTTGTCTTCCAACCAAACAGAACAATTAATAATCTCATCTCTCTAAACTCTCAATTCCTTAAAAAAAATTCCTCCAACCAAATAACCCGTCATGGACATTATAAAATCACTATATTGGCAAATATTGATAACACTTATTTAGCACAAATTTAGTTCCCATAAATTATATTTATAAGATTTAAATTGTCCTAAAATAATTGTCATAATAGAATACTAATGGTCCCATTAATCACTATCATTCAAATTTCTTCCCATTTACTCTCAACTATCATTCCACTCTACGTATACACCATTTAATAAGGGGTATTATAGTCTTTATTCTCAAACCTTAATATATGTTAAAATAATCTAGAATTATAATTATTTTGAGACTGATGTAGTAATTTGTAGGCATATATACCCACTCCATTGAATTCAAGTGTTAATTATTTAAATATGTTCAGAAAATCACGTAAAAACAAGTGTAACTGTTAACTGTTCATTAATGCGATGGTCTAACTACAATAAGTGTCACTGTTATCTTAAATATGATCCTTTGGGAAGCCTTAATGTCTGGTTGTTTAGGAAAATCTAAATAATCCCTACCACCCTTTACATCTATGTTAAGGTATGTCATCACGTCCATGTTAACAGTACACAGGACATTAAATATCCCGAAATTTAGGGGCTGGAGAACAGTGGAAAATCCATTGGTCGATCCATTGTAAATTGAATTAATATGTCTCCACGTTGGAAAGAAAGCAAAATCATCTAGACTCATCATGCCTAGCTAGCTGGATTGATATATGTTTTACCTACTAATACGTTTAGGCTTTTTTTCTAGTAAGAGGTGTGAAGAATTTTGTTATATGTATATTCTTAAAAAAAACTCACTTAAGTGATGATGGTGAGTGGTAACTCTGCCACTGTCTACACCCACCACCAGATATATATATCGGACCCACTAAGGCTGTGTTCTTCCTCGAATTTTCATAACTCATCTATCTCGTTTTTCACGTGCACGCTTTTCAAACTGCTAAACAGTATGTGTTTTATAAAAAAATTATATACAAAAGTTGTTTTAAAAAATTATATTAATCTATTTTAAAAAAAATAGTTAATACTTATTTAATCATGCAATAATACATGCTTTGTTTTGCGTGCCGGTCCTCCCAAAAGCAGCCTAAATTATAGCGAGTCGTGTGTACCCTTCATTCTCATGCTTAAGAGAGAAAAAAGCATATTCAACTACTCCATCCGTTTCACAATATAAGTTATTCTAGCATTTCCCACATTCATATTGATGTCAATGAATCTATATATATATATATATATATATATATATTCATTAACATTAATATGAATGTAGAAAATGCTAGAATGACTTACATTATGAAACGGAGGAAGTAGCTCAGTACATGTGACTCATGAGTATTCAGCTAGCAACAAAAAAGTTGCACAGTGAAGAAATTCAATCGAAGGAGTTGCATATCATGAAGGTTAAGATAATGATTAGCGTACGATCCGAAATATTAGAGGAGTGACGCACCATAAAATTTAATTCTCAAACGTTGTCACTCATTGCTAACAACTAAGTCAATACTGCAAAGTTAATTAATTGCTGATAGTGCAAAAAGGACGCTATCTTAGTTGTGTGTAGCTACGGGCAGGGATTATTCCATTTACACAATGTGTTATGGACGGTCATGACTTTTAGTAGTTGTTAATTTTGACTCTTAATTGCACAATTGTACATAGGAGTATTACAAGTAGACTGCCAAAACGATGAAAACACGACCTGTTTGCTTAGATATCTCTGGACTAGTTCATTTTGTTACCACTTTTAACTCTATTAAGTTTTGGTATCATCAAATTTTAGTAGAGTAACAACCTAAATATACTCTTCCTATATATTGTCACTTTACCAAAAACGTGTTTCAGAAGTTTCTTCTCATACAAACACTAGTAATTTTGTTATAAGACTAATTAACTAAACACATCCAGTGTTGCCAAAATTTAGTAACACCAAAGTGTGCTAAATTAAATTTAGCAATACCATATTTTGGTTAGGTTAATTTTGATAAATAGAAAACTGAACAAGACCTCTACTTGAAAAAAGAAAAAAAATGAATGATCGTGATTCATTTTCTTTCTGTCCTCGAATAGATGGCATCTATTCAATGTGTATGTGTAGCCAAACCTAGCTAGCTTTGTATATGTATATATATATGTATATATATATATGTATGTATATATATATATGTATATATATATATATGTATATATATATATATGTATGTATATATATATATGTATGTATATATATATATATATGTATGTATATATATATATGTATGTAGGATATATATATATATGTATATATATATATATATATATGTATGTATATATATATATGTATGTATATATGTATATATATATATATGTATATATATATATGTATATATATATATGTATATATATATATATATATATATGTATATATATATATATATATATATATATATATATATACACACACACACAACTATTAATACTTTTAATATGTACAATGACAATAGTACATTTTCATGAAAACATATATTTATTTAATTAGTTATGTTTCAATGATTTATGTTAATATAAGGTTAGAAGATCAAACATGTACATTAGAGATTGGGTCAATACCATATATTTCAAGTAAAAAAAACAATGGAGGCAGTAACATGGCTATTATTGAGAGTTAAATATATCTTATGAATGTAGGGTAGGAAAAGGTCGACACTATTATTGAGTTAAACATACCAATCAGTTTAACTCGATGAGAAAAGATGAGGAATTAATTAACTTGCTTAGACCTCAGATTCAGAAGAGAGGTAGATTTCATTTTAAAAAATGCATCATAAAAAAGTCATCTTGAGACATGTTGTTTTCACGCCTGAGTTGTTTGCACCAACTAGTTGGGAAAAAAATAGATTGGAAAATATAGATAATTCACTTACATTGATCAATAGCTATGATAGGTGCTAGTTATAATAGTTTTAATTATTCTAAATAAGTACTCGTGGCTCATGCAACTAAGGTGGTGTTTGGATCCAGGGACTTAACTTTAGTCTCTGTATTTAGACACTAATTTAGAGTATTAAATATATACTACTTACAAAACTAATTACATAAATGAAAGCTAATTTGCGAGACAAATTTTTTAAGCCTAATTAATCTATAATTAGATAATGTTTACTGTAGCATCACATAGGCTAATCATGTATTAATTAGGCTCAATAGATTCGTCTCGCAAATTAGTCCAAGATTATGGATGGGTTTTATTAATAGTCTACGTTTAATATTTATAATTAGCGTCCAAACATCCAATATGATAGGGATTTAAAAGTTTTAGTCCCATGTAAACATGGTCTAACTAACTATTGTGTACCACATACTCCCTCCGTCCCAAAAGAACGAATCTATGACGGGATGTGACACATTCTAGTACAATAAATCTGGACTGTCTAGATTTATTGTACTAGAATGTGTCACATCCAGTACTAGGTTGATTTTTTATGGGATGGAGGGAGTATATAACGGGTGTAGCAATCAAATCAATTTACTTGAGTACCAAATGTGGGCCAGAGTTT